ATCTATATAAAAATCTATATGAAATCTATATATAAAATATCTACATAGATATAGATTATAGATATCTATATAGGTCTATAGATATAAAATATCTATAGATTAGATATAGATCATATAGATATGGATTATATAAAATTATATATAGATTTTATCTGTATAAAAATCTTTATATGTGTAGAAAAATTTATATGTGTAGAGTTGTTCATTGTGATCTCTTACTATCATACATTGTGTATGTTCAATGTGTATCCCTTACTATGCTTTTGATAGCTGTGGGTCTGTAATGATACCCCATTTCATTCCTGATATGAGTAATTTTTGTCTTCTCTCTTTTTTTGTCAGTCTTGTTAGAAAATTGTCAATTTTATTGATCTTTTCAATGTGCTTTGTTGCACTGATTTTTCTGTTTTCAATTTCAGCAGTTTCTGCCCTTATTTACTTTGTCGTGCTTGCTTTATGTTTATTTTGCCTTTCTTTTTCTGAATTCTAGAGATATAAGCTTAGATTGTTGATTAAGGCTTTTTCTTTTTTCTAATGTGTGTATTTAGCACTATAAATTTCCCTCTCAGTACTGCTTTATTTGTGTGTCAACATTTTGATATGTTGTATTTTCATTTAGTTTAATGTATTTTTGTTTTCCCTTGAGACTTAACTTTCCCATGGATTATTTAGGTGTTTACTGTTTAGTTTCCAAGTGTTTGGAGATTTTGCCTTTAACTTTCTGTTGTTGATTTCTAGTTTGATTCCATTGTTGTCAGAGAATACATTCTTTTTTATTTCAGTTATGTTTACTCTGTTGAGGGGTTTATATCTCCGGATTGGTCTATCTTGTTTGATGTTTTCTGGGCACTTGAAAATAATGTGTATTCTGTTGTGTTTGAATGAAGTAGTCTGCTACAGTCAACTAGATCCTGTTGGTTGATGATGTTAAGTTCTGTGAGTTTGTTGAATTCTATCTAGTGTTTCTATCAATTGCTGAAAAAAGGGTGGCGAAATATGCAACTCTAATTATGAATTTTTTTCTCTTTTCAGTGCTACTTCACACATTCTGCAGCTCTATTGTTTAATGTATATAGGATTGCTTAGAATAGTTTAGGATTGCTATGTCTTCCTGATGGAGTGACCCTTTTGTTATAATATAATTATCCCCTCTATTCTGATCATTTTCTTTACTCTGAAGTTGCTCTATTTTAATATCATCTAATGTAGAAATCCACTTCCTGCTTTCTTTTAATATTTCTATGAGATATTATTTTCCATTGTTTCACTTTCAGTCTGCCTATACTATTTGAAGTTAAAGTTTCTTCTAGACAGCATATGTTTGGTTCATGCTTTTTAAAATCCATTATTGGTGTAGACTACTTACTGTCATGTAATTATGGATATATTAGGGCTTAAGTCTACCTTGTATTTTACAGTTCAAAATTTTCCATTTGGTTCTTTTTTTATATCTTATATTTCTTTTTTCTTGGACTCTTTTTGCTGAGACTTTATATTTTTTCATTTTTCTATTATGTTTTTAATTACTTGTTGAAGCATTTGTATGATAGCTACTTTAAAATGTGTCAGCTAATTCTCAGCATCTCTGTCATTTTGGTGTTTGCAAGTATTGACTGTGTTTTTGCATTCCATTTGAGATCTAGGTTTGACAAGTGATTTTTTAACTTGAAACCTGGATATTTTGGGTAGTATATTATAAAACTCTGCATCTCTGGATCATATTTAAATCTTCAGTTTTAGCTAGCTTACTCTAATGCTATTCTGGCAAGAGAAATAGAGCTGCTACCTTCTTACTGCCAGGTACAGGTAGAAATTGAATTTTCTACTCTGCATCCATTGACATCTAAGGAAGGATATCCCTTGTGACTGCTGGGCAGGGATGAGAGTTCTGGGTTCCCACTACACTTTTACTGATGCTTTCTTGTCTGAAAGGGATAGGAGTGCCTTGTTACCAGTGGGTGATGGTGAAAGCCCGGACTCTTCACTAGGCATCCTCTATATCAACCTAGGGCAGAAGAGGATTGGCTGCTTGTTACTACCTGACGAGAGCAGAAGTTCATGTTACCTGTGTGGTTTCGGTTTCCACCAGCATTGTAGGAGTTGAGAGAGAGGCTTTATTATATCCTGGTAAGGGTGGACATTTTAGGTCTCCATTCAGTCTTTGCTGGCATTGGTGGGAGTTGGGCCATAGTCTTTTCAGTGGTTTTTAACTGGAGTAGAGTGTTTATTTTCTAAGAGTTTTCTGTTTTGTTAGGCTCCTCCTTTCTTCGTCTTTTGGCTAGAGAAAAGGCAGGGTTTTGTTGGGGCTTTTTGTCTGCCCCCATTGTTGTTTCTGGTTACTAGCTTCTTCAGCTCCAAGTTTGGAATATATTAGGCAAAAAGAAACCCAGAGAACTCACCACCATGTAATTCCTCAGGTTTCCACCTTTCAGGGTCTTGTGTTTATTTTCTATATAATGTTCAGGCATTTTAGTTGTACCTAGAAGAGAGTGAGTGTGAAAAGTTCATTGACTGCATCCCACTCAAGTTAGTGCCTCTTTTATCTGCACCACTTTAGAATCAAACTCTTTGAAAGTATTCATCTATACTTATTTTCTCCAGTTCCACTCTTCATTCTCTCTTAAACCTATTCCAGTAAAATTTCTATCCCTATCACTCCTTCAAAACAATTCCTGTCAAGGTGTCATTTACAAGTAAATACTAAAAGCAAAAATATACATGTATGTTTGAATTGTAAGATCTTTATTTTTTTAAATTTTTAGGTTTGGGGGTACATGTGAAGGTTTGTTACATAGGTAAAGTAGTGTCACAGGGTTGATTGTGCAGATTATTTCATTACCAGGTATTAAGCCTATTACTCAACAGTTATCTTTTATGCTCCTCTCTCTTCTCCCACCCTCCACCTTCAAGTAGACCCCAGTGTCTGCTGTTTCCTTCTTTGTGTTCATAAGTTCACATCATTTAGCTCCCACTTATAAGTGAGAAAATGTGATACTTGGTTTTCCAGCATTAGCTTGCTAAGGATAATAGCCTCTAGCACCATCCATGTTCCCGCAAAAGATATGATCATGGTTTTTTTTTTAATGGCTGCATGGTATTCCAGAGTGTACATGTACCATGGTGTATACGTATTTTCTTTGTCCAGTCCATCACTGATGAGCATTTAGGTTGATTCCATGTCTTTGCTATTGTGAATAGTACTGCAATGAACATTCACCTGCATATCTTTATGGTAGAATGATTTATATTCCTCTGGGTATATATCCAGTAATGGGATTGCTCGATCGAATGATAGTTCTGCAGACAATACTTATCAAAACTTGTGGTTGCAGCTAAAGTTGTAGCAAGAGGGAAATCTATAGCCTTAAATACTATATTAAATGAATTAATTCTGGCAAGAAAAACAAAAAAGCGATGAAGATAATGTTAATGCAAATTAGAAAATGTTATAAATTTTAATCATATTTAAATAAACTTATATGTAAAATAATCTAGTTATCAGAAAAGTATGGGACCAAAACATTCAAAAAGAAATAGAAATTCTGAATGGCCCTATGACCATTAAAAATGTTGGTTTATTAGTTAAAAGTCTTCCTTCCCTCAGTACTCAACTGAGTTTGGACAGATGATAATTCCAGGGTTACATAAGCTTTTTCAAAAAACGGGGGAAAAAGTAGCAATTCTCTTTTCATTTTCTGAGTCTTATGTACTACAATCTTGTTAACAAAGCTAGCAAGGAGAGTAAGAATGAAATTTACAAGCTAGTCTCACTTAGGAAGAGAGCAAAACAGTCCCAAAATCTAGCAATGTATAAAACAGGTAACATGACCAAATTTGACTTATTCTAGAAATGCAAGGTTTAATTAATATTAGAAAATTGTCCAAAATATTTACACATTAATGAAATTATGTTACTACACATCATAGGCCTTTGCGTTATTGATTTAGTGTAGTCTTAGTTAAATCCGAGAATGCCAGGTGTCTGGAGAGCTTGTTGAATAACTAAAATTCAGTTTTGAGTGGAATACTGTGGACGACAGTAGATGGCACAATTAATTTGATTAAAGGGAGTCAGATGGTTTCTCAGAGGTGGCAAAATGTGAGTTAAGTCTTGATGAATAATATTTTTATCAGCATGTTTGAGATTTCAAGTAGAAATAATGGGTGCTGAAGCATGGCTGTGGCATTTGGGAATGGTAAGTGATATAATTAGAGCATGGTAAGGTTATCAGGAAGTGGCAGGAGATGAAACTAGAGATTTGTGACAAATTGTGAAAGGCCTTGACTGCCTTGCTTCTTGCTAAACAGTGGAATTTATCAACCCACTGAGAGAAAGCCAGTTAAGATTCTTGAGCCTTCCATATATTTAGCTGCTTATATTTAATGTGTTGTCTTTAAAAATAACACATGATTTGTTGTTTGCGTGCTTTTGCATATGTAACTTATTTGAAGTTAAGTGCTTCTGCTGATTAACTTTTTGTTCACAAAAATATAGGGATCTGGATTTCTGACTGGACCACTTAATATAATGTATTACTTTCCGCTGTGTTATGTCCTAAACTTTTAAAACCACTCAGGACTAATGTCTTTCACCAAACTGTTACCTAAGAACTTTCTAAAGAAGTATGTGACAAAGGCATGTTTCATTTCATTTGCTCTGCCATTTTTAGCTGTATATGTGGTAAAACATGTTTTAATACATCTCTTTTTAACTTTGATTTTATTGGAATTTTTGAGTTGTTTGTTTTTAAGAAAAGTAATTGGAGTGAACTTTCTTTGATTCCCAGGTTTTCTTTTTTTCCCCTTTTTTCTTTTTTTATTGCATTGGTAGATGCAAGGCAAGAAATTTATTACTATAAATTTGTGACTCAGAATTTTAAAACTAAATTAACTTCATAAATGCACTCACTTTTTTCTTAATGGATTCCTTCTAACCCCCAATGATACTTTTATTTGATTTTCTTGATTACGTAATTTGTTTGCTGTTTCTTTTATTTAAGGTGTGACTGCACAGAAAAGTTACAAAACAAATTTGACTTTTTGCGCTCACAGTTGAATGATATTTCATCATTTAAGAATATCTACAGATATGCCTTTGATTTTGCAAGGGTAGGTGCAATTTTCTTGTTTTGTTGTTTAATCGCTTTTCATCTTGAGACCACACTTAGGAAAACTTTTTCACTTACATTTTAGGATAAAGATCAGAGAAGCCTTGATATTGATACTGCTAAATCTATGCTAGCTCTTCTGCTTGGGAGGACATGGCCACTGTTTTCAGTATTTTACCAGTACCTGGAGGTATGTATTTTTTTTTGAATTTTGAAAATATTATTTTAAAACTTAATCTGAAAGTTATACTTTTGAGGAACAAGTAGATTTTTTTTAATAGTATGCTTAAAAAAAACTCCTTGAGTAGAGAAAAAATTCTAAAATATGTACGTATCAGTTATTTTTAGATGTTCGTGTTTGTTAATATATTTTGTACCTAAGATACCTTCAATCCTACCCCCCTCCCTGCCCCAGTAAAAGAAACCTCCAAGAAATATACTGTAGCACAGACATTTGTCATGCAAAGTTAGTGTCTCGGGGTTTTCGTAAGAGAGAATTAATGCTAGCACGCAAATCTTAAGCTTCTAAATCTGATTTTCTTTTGTTATACAGGGTCTTAAGCTGAAATGTACATAAGATAACCAATTTAGTAATACAACTTTCCTTTGCTACTTAGGCTCAATCTAAAGAAAGAGAATAAAGCTATTCATATTTTATGTCCACAAATATGAGAATGACTATAATAGTATACTTAAATATGCTGGTTACTAAAAAGATGTAAGCTGAAATGATGAAGTGTTCTTTTAGAAGGTTTATCATAGCACCTACTATAGGCAGTGATTCTAAGAAGATGCTATTCTTTTTTTCCATTGCTTTCTTTGTCTAGTTTTTGTTTTTAAAACTGTTTTTGTGTCTTTGTAATTTTAGGGTTATTGGTATAGTTCTCACCATATCTTGAATACAGATGCTTTTTCCTTTGGAAATTAATTTATCATAAAGCACATTGCTTATAGCAACTTCCCTTTTCCCAGAGTAGTAAAAGTTGTGATATAAGACAATATCAGCCAGGCATGGTGGCTCAAACCTGTAATCCCAGCACTTGGGGAGGCCAAGGTGGGCAGCTCACTTGAGGCCAGGAGTTCGAGACCAGCCTGGCCAACATGGTGAAAACCCCATCTCTACTAAAAATACAAAAAAAATTAGCTGGATGTGGTGGTGTGCACCTGTAGTCCTGGCTACTCGGGAGGTTGAGGCACGAGAATTGCTTGAACCAGGGAGGTGGAGGTTGCAGTGAGCCGAGATTGCACCACTGTACTCCAGCCTGGGTGACAGAGCGAGACTCTGTCTCAGAAAAAAAAAAAGAGAGAGAGAGAGAGAGAGGGGTATGAAAAGGTCTTACATGAATGAGTTTTATGCATGATTCAATCTTTAAGTCCTATAAATTATTTTTGATGGATGGTATCTATTTTCTTTCTATTAGTAGTTTTGGGCAAAAATAAATTTAACTGAATGTAAAAATATTCAGCTCTATGGGGAGCTGAGAAGAACTAAATATTTTCAGACACTTGTTGTGCAGGTTGTTTGGCATACATTTTTAAAAATCTTTATAACACCATTTTGAATTAAATTCTATCCCCCATTTAACAAATGAGGAAGTGGTTTCTATTCTTAAGTAACTTTCCCAAAATCACTCAATTAAGTGGGAAGGATGGGATTTAAATCGAAGCCTATACTCTTTCAGTTGTCTCCAAAGATGCCAAACTCAAAATGTGGCTAACCAGTAAATCTTAAGCAAAGAAATGATTTACTAGGAAGCAGCATAAGATAACATACTGGATGTAGGAAATGTTATATATCGTGATCTCATTGGTGGTAACACAAGTATATACATATGTAAAAGTTAGTTTTATCCTTACTATTAGTACTCAGTGCTCTTATTATTCCTCAAAAATGAAAAAAAAGGTAAAAAATAGATGATGTTAATATGTAAATGCCCATGAGGAATCTCTTAAAACACAAATAATTAAAAGAATAATAAATGTTTTAGGAAAAACCAAATGACAAAAAAAGTTATGACTTAGTTTACTAAATTGAGTAAATGATGTTTGCTTAAATATTTAAATACAAATATTTAAATCATTTTTTGCAGCAATCAAAGTATCGTGTTATGAACAAAGATCAATGGTACAATGTATTAGAATTCAGCAGAACAGTCCATGCTGATCTTAGTAACTATGATGAAGATGGTGCTTGTAAGTATAACATAGCATGTTCCTTTGAAAATAAAATTTCCAAAAATATTAAATGAGAGTATGGATTTATGTAGTATTAGCATAGAGGTTTTAAATTTTGTAATAGTAACATTATTTAATCATGTGGGGGATGTGGGAGAAGTAGAGAGAAAGCTTAGATTCAGCAGTATTATATAAAATCTATGCTGGTAGGTGAAATGTGTTCAGTTCCTCAGTAACCAAACATTTTAGCTAAATTTAAATTATAATTTTTGCATCTAGAAACTAAAAATCAGCTTTGTTTCTGTCTTTCCTGGCATTTGCCTATGGAAGGAAAGTACAGTCATGATTTTTAAAATATAACAGCAAAACAATCAGCCACAATAGAAAAAGCTTTAAAGAGTTGTTGTAATATTATGCTACCCATTAACAATATGGCAAATAATGTCAGTATAACTTCTCTCTGAAAACTCTAAATTGATTGTGAGTAAACTGATAGTGAAATAGTTATAATTTTTTAATCCCTCAAGTTAAAGTATCTGTCCCTACTCCTCCATGGAAAGGCTAGAATGCCATAAAACAGGATTTTGAAATAATGATAAATTAATTAGATAAACCAAGTTAATTCTGTAGAACTATAAATTATTTTCAGTTCCCACCACCATTTTGGTTGGTTGCATGTGTTTTCAGTGTTCAGAAGGGTTACAAGGAAAAGTACATTCCTATAAACTTAAACTGAAATTTACACTTTTTTTCTGTGACACTGAAAAAATAAAATAACAGAAGAAGGGATAACTTTATTTCTTCCTACATATATTTTGTCTTCTCTCTACAAGATGATATAAAATTTAGTATTATTGTAAAGAAATAATACCTAGCAGCAGTAACCTGGCAGCCCAGAGGCTGTATATGGCCTGTAGATGTGTATATTTATGTATTTTGTATCAACATTTAAAACTAGGAGATTTTGTATTAAAATACAACTTTTAGATTTGTTTGAAAAATTTAAAAAGTCTGACAAAACTGTACCTTTATAGTACTCCTTTATAGGAGTCAGAGGCTAGAGGCAAGTATTAATTGTGTTGGACTTGCTTTTCAGTTTGACAGTTCATGGTATGCCAACACCTAGGCTGGGCTGTTTTTCAGTTGCCATTTATTATCATACTTGCTCTGCTGTTTTTCTTACAGTAGAGAAACATGTCTGTCAAAAACAATGGAAAAAGACCACCAGAGGATTATGTGTTTTAAGAAGAATAGAGCAAGCATATTTCTTTGTGGCAGTGATTTTTCCTACATTTAAACAAAATAAACACTGAGCTCATTTAAACTGCCTACCTGGCTCTGTCAACAAATGAGTTTGGACTTCTCCTGCATTATAAAAATATCTTTTTTAGAATAGTACTTAGCTCATTAGTCAGATATTCATTAGGCACTTGCTTTGTGTTCAGCTTTGTACTGCATCCTATTATTGGAATAAAGTAAAGTCTCTGTTATAGTTGATCCCTCTCAACAAGCTTATATACTTCTTGAGAAGGCAACATAGAAATATTACCTTCAACACTTTTCAGATTGTTTAGTAATTACATGCCAGAATGCTATGGACACTTAGAAAAAGGGAGAGATTTGAATTGACTCAGTTATTGGAGGGTTCATGAAACACCTTGAGAAGGAAGTTACTATAGATACCGTTGTTCCTTGTGTATTTAAGGGCAAAAAAGAAAAGGCTAATAAGGAAGCACCATTAAATGGAATAAAGTGACTAGAAGTAGAACACCCAAAGAAGGGAAGGGTCAGTCCTCTGTCATTGCAGAGCTCGTGGGGAGTTTGTTTGTTTTATAATTGGAGAGATGAGTTCACTGAATTCTGACAAAAATTGTTTCTTTTTTTCTAGGGCCTGTTCTTCTTGATGAATTTGTTGAGTGGCAAAAAGTCCGTCAAACATCATAGCAAGAACTATTGTGAAGAAAATGCAAACCTTTTGATTCCCACGTGTATACAAGCTAATGTGATGAGGGGGAAAAAAAATCCAACGGGTGCATTTTCATTCATGTGAAAGACTTCTCATAGTACTTTTTTTTCCTTTTTTTAAAGGAGGTTTTTCTTGTTACATGTGATGGGCATTGAGCCACACCTCTTCTTAGACTGAATATTGAAGTTTTTGTTTTGAGTTATGTTTATAACATTTATTTCAGAACAATAAAGATTCAGATTTGTGACAAAGGCCTTAAAGTGAAGATGTCCCTTGAGTGTCAGAGTGGTATTTATTTTTGTAAATTTGAATTTTTGGATTTTTGAGGTTCCCATTCACCGTGAATTTATAGAATTTTCAAGATTTTAAACAGTCTTAATATTTGGCAACGTAGTCTGCTGATGGTATGGCTCATTATAGTCATCTCTGCACAGTTTGGAAGACTTTTGGCCTTGACTTCTGGGATAATGATATGCTGATGCAGCTAATAAACATTTCTAGGTATTGGAAAAATGCTCCTGCTTTTAGCTCTGGGTTTCTATAAAAGCTGCCAAGGTCTTACGCAGATGTCTTATCTCAGAGTTTAGAATTGGAAAGATCATGTCCAGTTTTGTTTTCTAAAAAACTTGTATTATTAAGTTGTATCATCATTGTTATTGTTGATAGTGGCATATTTATGATATTTTTAACTGTCATTATATAGGGAATTTTGTTTAAAGCACTTTTTAATTTTTTTTTTTTTTTTTTTGCCTTAAGAGGACATTAGCTCTGATATGAATTTAGTTAAGATACACATAGGAAAAGAAGACAATAGAATAAGGAATCATGAGAGAACTCTGGGTGTAATTGTACACAGCTCAGTAGAGCCATTTACATTGGTAGTATTGCAGTATTGCTAATTATCACAATTTTCTGCCTGTTGGTAATAAAGTGACTTGAGGAAAGGGAATCCTTTCCTAATTCATGTAAAAGGCACTTTTGTACTAGCAGCAGGCCTGTTTGTGCATTCCTTTTCAAACCATCCAGTATCCCAGTGATAGGAAAACTTTGTTCATATTCATAGACCAGTCACAACTTCAGTAACGTTTCTAGTGTCATTGTATGAGTAGAGAGAAGTAAGGAGATTATTTTTCCATAATAAGGGAGTGTTTCTATTAGGATTTAAGGTAAAGGTTGATTTTTCAGTGGTGAATTTGTTTAAAGAATGATTTCTCCATATTGATTACCTAAGGGGGAATGACATTTTAAAGTGTTTTGTTTGCTTTTTAGTTAATGAGCTGGGAAAAAAATGATTGCCAATGTTTTACTTGCCTTCTTAATAAGATTACTTTGTACAGTAATCTTATTAAAACACCCATAATGGTGGGAGACGGTTTTCCTAAATGTCTTATAGAAAAGGATAATACAGAATGCTCCTCTTAAGTATTAGAATCACTGAGGTATGAACTGAGCATACCAGTGGTGTTAGGATTTAATATTGTGAATGATGTTTTAATATCAAATTTATTATAAGGAAAGCATTTACATTTGTAGACCTTTGAATTTATAATTTAATTGACTCTTAAAGGTACATCTGAACTGAAGAATATATCCATTTTTGTTAAATTCCAAAACATATAAGCAAAATCTTATAAATTATTACATTTGTAACCTGAACTAATGGTAATATTGGGTTTTCATCTTCAGTATTTGGGTAAAATAGGGAACACTTAAAGCGTATAGATGAAATGTTTTTTAAAAAGTATATATATGAAAGCACAGGCATCCTTGGTATAGGCAGGGGATTGATACCAGGACCCTTGTGTATACCCAGATCTGCGCAAGTCCTGCAGTCATCCCTTTGGAACCTGCCTGTATGAAAAGTCAGCCCTCCCCGTGTGTGTACTGTTGCATCCCGGGAATACTGTATTTTCAATCCATGTTTGGTTTTAAAAATTCTGCGTATAAGCAGACCCACACAGTTCAAACTCATGCTGTTCAAGGGTGAACAGTATTTACTTTGCTTACTTATCCAAAGATACCTTTAAGACTTTTTGAGTCTGAAAATGAAATTTACTTTCTTTTTTCACTTAAAGTCAACCGTCCTATCCGACCCTAGCCATACTTGGAGTCCAGTACCACTGTGGCCATGCTTGTTTCACTCTGTTGCTCCATCTATTTATCTTACCTTTCTTAAAGTTACAACATTTGCCTACTTTGAAGGCAAATTTACTCTGCCTGATTCATCAGTCAGGGTGTGGGCTGTGTCCCTTCTTGTCTTTCCTTTGTTAGTTTTGAATAGCTTTTAATTTACTGGGAAATTTGTGATCAAAATGTTAAGTGATATAAACAAAGAATACAATATTAAGCACCCTGCAGTATAAAAAAGTCTAACTGTTGTTAGACTTTTTTTTTGACTAGTTAGCTTTAAGTGCCTTCCCACGAATCCTGTTGTAAAATTTTCAGAACTACTTCCTTTGTACAGGATGAAATACTGTATGGTGCTTTATAACATGGAATTGAGTTGTTTCTATAAGAATATTATACAAATGTAATACTACTGGAAGAAAGTAGAGCCAGATGTTGATTTGAAAAGATTGCACCCTTCCGCCCCCGCCTTCCTCGGGGCCAATAATTCTTAATTAGGTATGATGTTAATACCTCTAGGAAATTGCCAGGGATTCAGGTGACAGTGTGTGATGAAAATGGTGTATTGTGTGCTGGTCTGACTGCATTACCATGTTTGTCTTCTCTTGTCTATGATTTCTTATTTCTTAAATGCTGCTGATAAAATTCTTGATATAATACATTTTTGACAGTAGTAGCATTTTTATGTATAATGTATAGGTTTTGTTGGTTTTTACTCAGAAGCACTCTAGATTAGTGTTTCTTGAACTGCAGTTTGAGAGCCTTCTTTGGGAATGTTAAATTGAGGAGTATTTCTCTTAAATACAAATGCCTTTTCATCTAGCAAACCAAAAATTTATCTTAACATTGAATGCCATCACTCGGGGTCGGGGTGGAAACATTTCACTTTGAAGTATTTCTTCAACAAAACGTGTCCTGTCTGCCAGCTTGCTAATGTGAAATTATGAAAGAATTTATTGAAGTATATGTTCAGTTTGAGGAGTAATTGGTAAGAATGCCAGGTGTTGTTCTTCTGCCCTCTTAAAGAAGTGTACTTAAAACTGTTGTGATAATAATTCATCTCTGATAAAACTTTGTTCTGGCCTTCAAGGCTCCTACAGCTTAATGTTTTAAATGTCTAAGGCATCAAATAAATTGAGGGCATTTTAATAAAAGAAAACTAAATGCCTTTCTTTGTTAAAGCAAAAGGCCAAAAAAAAAAAAGAAAAAAAACCCAAAAGTCTTACTCCTAAGGAATTCTTACCTCTAAGGAGGAATCCTTCCCTCTTGAGGAAATACCACTTTTTGAGTGACATTAGAAATCATCACAAGGAAACATTTCAAAGAAAGGATCATTTTCTTTTCAGGAGAAAGAGGAATAACAATTTCATTAACTCTTCCTCAAAAGGAAAGGCTAGTCTGAATTATTAAGTATTCTAGATTGTATCATTTTTTAGTATAGTTTTATTACTTTAGGAATATTTGGTAAGAACCAGGTAAACCTAATGTTTAAGATTTGTTCTTTTTTGTTAATAGACTTGTGTTTAGTGCGGTGGAAGCCCAAAAAGCAGTCTAACTTATGATAAACTTAGAGACTGTGGAAAGATGAATTTCTGCCCCAAACCTTAGATCAGCGGTCAATAATTTAATTGTAGAGATTTTTCTAGTGAACTTTTACTTCACTGGAGCAAATCTTTAGATCTTTTAAAGCACAGTTTATTTACCTTTTTACAAACAGCAGTCTTAAAACTGATGGATCATACATTTGCTGTGTGCACCTTATAATCTTTTACAGTCTATTAGTACAAATAGTGTTTCCTTGGCTCCTTTTCCTGACCAGTTGTTATTGGTGTGACCATTTTCTTTTTAGGATTGATGAGACATTTTGCTATGTATGCTATGTCATGTATTAGAACCTTCTATAATATGGCTCATTTTGACATGGTTTCTGATTTACCATGTGTGAAATATTCCTTAAAATACATCAAGTAACACTATAGTGAGGTTAGACTTTAACATAAGTATTGAATCTTATTTTATAATGCAAATTTTATTGAAGCTTTGTTGTATTTATTTTATGGATCTATGGTCCATAAATGGGAGTTAGTAGCAAACATTTTGTTAAAAATGTCTTAGCTTTCCCCCAAATTATATCATTTTGTAGAAGTTTTATCCTTCTGTGGTTTTTCTGGCTTTCTGAGCTTTAAAGTGTTAATGAATTCGTACTTCATGGGTTCGGTTTTAAGTATTAGATTACAATTGTGGATTTTAAAAAGGTAATAAATACTTGAAGTGAATATATATAGACAGCCAGATTTTCCCAAAACTGGGCTGTGTGTGTTTTGTGTAGAATTGAATATTAGCCATAATTAACTTTTTTTTTTTTTGGAGACAGGGTCTTACTCTGTCACCCAGGATGGAGTGCAGTGGTGCAGTCTCAGCTCACTGCAGCCTGCACCTTCCGGGTTCAAGAGATTCTCGTGCCTCACCCTCCCAAGTAGCTGGGATTACAGATGCCTGCCACCGTGCCCAGCTAAGTTTTGTATTTTTTTGTTTATTTTAGTAAAGACGGGGTTTTACCATGTTGGCCAGACTGGTCTCAAAATCCTGCCCTCAAGTGATCCCACCCCCCCTCAGGCTCCCAAAATGCTGGGATTACAGGTGTAAGCCACATTCCTGGCAAATGATTAACTTTTTCACGTAGAATAGATCACAGATAAAAGCTCCTCACATATTTTGAAGGTCAAAAGAAAATTTGTTGTTGCTAACAATTGCCTTTGAACCATGAAAGAGGATAAACTAACTTTATTTGAGCAACTTGTCATTTGAGACTTAAACTAACTTGCCAAACTTAGCAGAATTGAGTATTGACTTAAATGAAGTTAGTTTATATAGATACTTTACTATGCTGTCATGCAAATAAAATGGCTTAAAGCAAGTTCATACACAGTTACTTTTATCTGCAAATGTAGAAATCTTACCTTTTTGAAATTTACATTATTCCCTGAAACTATGCATATTGAGAGAGCGTTTATAAAAGTATTATCTGAGAAACCTGAGTTTGATTTTCTTATTGTGACATTCCCGTTAATGTCACTTTTAAACAAGACATTTAACCTATGTCATCTTCAGTTTCTTCTGTAAAGTGGTGATGATAAT